TACGTTAGAGATCAAGTTTATAGAACACCCTCATCTACAAAGGAGGATATGAAAAATAGAATTAAAGACGTATTATTCCAAAATATTCCAGTCAGCATGTTGAGGCGAGTTAATGGTGGTCACTTTGAGCAGTTGTTATAAATTTCTTGTATTTTTTTATCATCGTATCAACTATTTACTCTCATAAATCTTCTGAAAGACACCCTGCCTGTTGGGCTAGCGACAGGGTAGTGTGGGATTTTTACCCACTAAATCCCCTTCTCCTCTGCCATGAGCATTACCTCAAGACGGCGGCCCCTCTGCCTTCCTCTTTCTTCTTATTCCCTGTTCTTCAAAATTTTTGTTATTAGTTTTTCGCCTGCCGACCAGTTTCCTTCACTTTCCAACATTATACCGATCAGGTGGTCCTTGTTTATATCTATCCCCACCACCATGCTCGTTGTTTTTCTATCTACAGTTCATTTGTCGCATTTGAAAATGGTGTGCTCTACGTCGTTGGATCTGTGTTCGAGGAATCAACGTGCGTCCGTCCAAGTTTATCTAAAACACTTCATCCAGAAATATATTCCTTATCATAGGAAGATATTTCTGGATGAAGATATTTCGACTGGGAAAACGGTACTTCCTCACACTAATGGGCCACCCTGTATATGATTTATTAATGACGTAGCGTCAATTGATGCCATCGTAAGTTCCCTAACAGATGATGAATGTAGCATTTGTGGAAAAAAAGTTGAAATTTTTTTGGATACTTAAACAATTTTCAAGCAAAATGAATTTTATGCTTTGATCTTCTTGAGTACCTACTTATATAAGGAAAGCACCAAGGAGCAAGAATGTTTCACCTTATTATTTCAACTACAACTAAAAATTATAATACAACAAAAATTAATTGGCGCTCCGGGGCGACTTCATTGATTCCAGTGGCGCATTTGCTTTTTCAGCTGCAAGAAAACCCGCCAGAACATCGCCAGAACAATTAGTAAGACGACTATCGTCAAACTCAAACCAGTCCGTTTTGTCTTTGACCAATGCAGATTCTACGCCAGAACTACAAAGAACAATGACTTCATGAAGATTATAATAGTGGTCTGCTAGATTGAAGTGTTCATCTATTTCGAGTTTGGTGCTTCCTCCAGAAGTTGAGTCATGTTTGAAAATCATCAATGTTATTATTAGATTGACTGGTGCATCAGCTAAACTTGTTTTCTTATAATAGTCAGTTAGTTTGGCGCATGTTTGGCAATAGAATTGATCATCACCCGTTAAAAGTTGCATTTTCAGATGATTTAACAACTAACTTATCACGGACTAGTTATCACTCATGTTAGGAAACGCTAGTTGAAGTTCCAGAAAATCACATATGTTTGTGCTACCTCTTGAACATTTACTACAAAGTAAACAAGTTAGGATTTTTCCAGCAAAAGATCTACAAACACAAGACGAGACTGTACGGAATCATTCAATCCAGAGCGGTCAGGAATATTGATTCTGCTATTTTTTGCTCACGAAGAGTAAACAACCAGAACCCCAAAAATTCGGAGCAAACCTCTTGTTGTCCTAATGAGTATCTAGTGGACTTCAGACTCCAGAAAATCGGTTGGTTGTGAAAACGGAGGTCAGATAAATTTTGTTAGAGAACGATGCTATAACTTTTTGAAAAGTGAAGACAATTTTTTTCTAACCGGACATATTATACCTAACGGATGTACTGTTTCGGCGTTGAGTTGCAAATATAAATAATGGAGAATGTGGGTAGAGTTCCGGAGGATGAGATTTTTTATTGTAAAGTATTCTTTTTTTTAGATTCCATTAGTTTCATTTAACTGATGATAATATTTCCAGGAGCTTCATCTCTGTTGAACAATGTAATTTCGTAAACTAGACTATACGTTACACTATACACTGTAGTACATACATCGTACTTATCCTTCAATATTGCACGAATGGACGTCATTGTAACCAGCGTCCCATTAGCTTTAGTTACTTTGACGCACAAAATCGGAACTACCCACTCGCACATTTTTGCTGTAGTCAGGCCCAGCCTCAATGATTTACACACTTCCATTAATTTGCCAAAATTCTGCTCCATATATCAGAAAGCTAATTTATATCAAAATGAGCTATCAAATGGGGCACCAGCGCCTCGCATGCGGTCCCACTTGTTTGGACATGTTGACTAACGGCTCGTAGCCACGACAGCGTGATTTAGGTGTTTTCTTCGACGCGAAATTGATGCCTAATTATTTAGTGGAGTGATACTGTTGATAATTTATGATTTTATTTGCAGAAACATTCCATACACCTTGTGAAAATGAGTTCAGGATGACATCTTGTGGAATAGAATGAAAATCTTCGAAGTTTTTCTAAAGGCTAACAATATGAATGGAACTGTAACACTTCTCGTTTTGAACTTGCAAAAAATCTTTAGCAGCCATGTTCTACAAGTGAATGAGGCTTATACTTGAAGTTTCAACCCAGATTTTCTGGATTCCCGGGTCCTTCGCCAAAAACGTAAGAAATAATTTTTTTTTTTTTTCGTATTTATCGAAACATTTAGTATTAATGTATAATATTTAAAACACTGTTACCGTTATTTTCTCTGATCTGAAAGTTTTTCAGTTACATTCTGCATATGATGATTTAAATGACTGACTTGTGGGAAGGCCTGTTAGACATCGTAGTTCATCCCTACTAAAGTCCAACAACTGTTTGGTATCAAGCTTCAAAGGGGGAATAAACGCCTTGGAGTGAGACAAACTTGAAAGATTCTGTTAGAAGTCCATAAATCTTCTTGCCATTCAGATGTTCAATCTTTGTTTAGCAAAGCCTAAAGCGATGCCAATGACAGGTTCCTGTTCGATAAACTTGTTTGCAGCACCCTTCTTTGCAAGGAAGTTAGCAGCCACATTGCCTTCCAGGCCAGTATGGCCAGGAATCCAGACCAAAGACAATCTGTTAAGTCTTCCTATCGAGGAGAGTCGTTTTTAGCAATTTGCTACCAATCTAGACGTTGCTCGGTAGGAGCTAAGAGCTTTGACCGCCACTTGACTCTCCTAGAATATTTTTATTGACATGTGCTTGGATTCTTCTGATCTCTCCGCAAACAATTCAATAGCATAAATTTCCGCTTGAAATATAGTCGCATAGGTTCCTAGGTAGGTTGATATTTCTGTCCTAGGTCTGCGACTGAAAACACCTGAACCAGAACCTGAAGGTGTTTTTGATCCATCTGTGGACCAACAACTATCTACTCTTAATATTTCCTTCTCCCGGAGGATCCAGTCCTCTCTCCTCAGGAACAGTATTTCATGAGGCAATTCTTAGTTGACAGTTGGAGGCATAAAGCCAATAAAGCCAGAGGCCATTGCCAGAATGCTGGGCCTTCCAGTGTCAACCAACAGTCTGTTCCACTCTGCATTAAATTGATTTTTATAATTGACAATGTGCACAAGTCGATATGCAGTCCATCTAGCCTCTCTTTCCAGAAAAATGTGGAGAGTAAGTGAATCTCCATGACCGCTGACGATGTGATACTGATGTTAAAACTGATGGCCAGACAAGACTGTCTCTGTAAGCCAGAGAATTCGCCGGAGCTTTCGGCAACCAGGCAATTGCTTCATAAGTGATCATTGGTCTGATAATCATCAAATAAATTCGATGTATTTGTTTGGGACCCCAAGTTTTACCACAAATCCTTCAACATATTCATTGGGCAGTCTGACTTTGTGTAAAACTTTTCCCAAGTGAGCGTTCCAGGTGAGTTTTTCATCAAGGACAATGGCAAGATATTTTACCTCTGTTCCGAATGGAATCACCTCAACCATTGAGGAAGAGTGGCATTAAAAACTGCAATTTTCTCCTCCTCGTGAACGGGATTATCACAGTTTTGCTGGGGTTGACATACATCTGCCCCCTTTACAGTAAAGACACGCCCGAAGAAATCATTGTATGGCGAAACACGTGTGCGTTTTTGTAAAAACGTTTAGTGAAAATCTCATAATAAAGTGTTTTTTGAATACGTTCTAATAATTGAATATATATTTTATATTTGTTCTTCATTCATACCATTCTCTCTCTATGATAATGGCTTTTGCTTTCATTGAGGCGCATTAAGCCAATTCGTACCATTTTTTATACCAGTATTTTTGGAGGAAAACTCCCAAACAAATTAAGATAGAAAATAACTTATTAAAACTCTTTATGATGACATATAGATCATGCATAAATATAGGAGGAAAGTGTCTTTCAAAACATCGAAGTACATCATTGAGGATATACTTTGTTTTATTGTATGTAGTGATACTGATCTCAATTTTTTTTTGGGTTTTCACTTTCGATTTACTAAAACGATGTTTTAATCCGTTTTCATTTATAAGTACTACATTTTAAAGGGGATAAATGTTCCTATACGTATTTTATGAAAATAATAATAAACGTTGAAAATTGACTATCAAAAGCTATATTACATAAAATGTTACTCAATACCTTGTTTCTATTTTTGATCTTTATTTAGACAATCATTTTATTTTCGTTTTCCTCATTTATAAAAATTAACTACAAAAACTTTCAAGCAAATTTGATATTTTGAATATTTTTCCACCTTGTTATGCTCTGAGTATGGCTGTCTAATAGTCGAAACGTGATCGTAACTTTCCCACTGTTTGTTACATTTTTAATTGTTTTCCTTGGTATAATAACAACGACATAAACAATATCAATCGAAGAAAATAAATATCAGCACGAAAAAAAATGCGCGAAATGCTACTCAAAAATCAGCTACCTCGAGAGGAAAAACAAAATTGCACGCACGCTAACCCCGAACTTTTCTTCGGCGCAACAACACGGAACCGCCGGCCGGGGCAACAAGTGGTCGCCCGGAGCGTCATCGAGAGGCACAAAGGAAGCCCTAGAGCACTCTCCCATTGGTCCATATGGATGCTGTAGCTGGCGGCAGAGAGAGGGGCATGGCCGTGCCTGGCGGGTGCGCGAGCGATCAGTAGTCTTTCGAACGTCGAAGAAGTCTAGTAGGCCGCGAACGAGGGATACAGTGCGATTCTTGAATGAAAGTCTAGATGTTGAGGACGCGCCGGCGACGTTTCGAGCCCAGTGATGATGTGCAGTGTCATGTGGCGTCTGTTGTGTAGGAGCATGACCCACGGATATTTGTTGCAGTTCTTTTTGCTGCTGCTGATGCTTCTGCAGGTAAATGATGCGCGACGGGGTAGTTTTTTGGTTATGGTGAAGTGGTGAAGTTCGATAGAGGATTGTGTGGTACTTCGAGCCAGATTCGGGTGCGAGACACCCATCGGTGGTCTGGGGTATTTTCTCGCATGCACGTTGAGTCGCTTAGCGCAGGTTCCCACGGTAATATCGCGGGAACCCGTTCTGGTAACGTCGTGAATTGTGGTATCGAAATGTTCAGAATAAAACATAAATTACAAGTTTATGATCTCGCTAAAAACACACTGTTTTATCGAAAAATGCTTGGATGTACCATTCAACCATTTGTTCTTATTTTATTGTAATATTCGGCTGTGTCAAATCTGTGCCGTTCTTATCAAAAGGGGTGATACTAAGAAAGAATTCAATTAGATGACTGATGGCTTTTCTAAATTGTCATAAAATATAACATGAGTCAAGTTGGATTTCAGAAGTTAAAAAGTATACGGAAGTATTAATGATAATAAAACATGTATTCTTCTAATAAAAAATGAGATATACAAATTTCGGTATGTTAGTGAAAAAGTAAAAACCGTATAAAAATTTAAAATGTGAAAAAACAATATTTGTTGAAAATTCTCCCACTACAATCTATACTTATTTATCTCAAATCACTGTCATTAAAATTAATTATTATTCAATCTATTACTCTACCAAAGTATATGGAGTTTTTGATCTTGGAAATTTTTGTTTCTGAATTTTTTTCAACCATTTTTGAGATATTGGGAGTTTTTTCTTTCAATAAACTGATTACTGACTGTACTAACGTTTGGTGATGTATATTTAGAGCACACCTATTCCCGATTTAAGTAGGTGCCAAAGGAACCTAATTACATTAAAATACATTAAAAAATCTGTAGCTGAATTCTTACAAACATAAAACTTCTGGAAATTGGAATTTCTTACCGTTTGAAAAAGCTATAGTGTTCCATGTATGCTTCTTCGAAAAAAATCTTCGTCCAAAAAAAAATTGTGTAACTCTGATTTTGGGTTCGAAACTCAGCTATGGTAAGAAGCATTCCCCATAACATTGGTGAGTTTGGGATCAAATTTATTGTGAACCAGTTTCCAAATAAATTTGCGTCGGTATCTTGATTAGTCCAGCGACGAAATTTTGATCTTTTTTACCAATAATAACAAACATGCCGACAAGCAATTTTATCCTTTAATTGACGGTACATTAGTAAAGTACCTCTTCGATTCATTCATCCAACCTTTTTCAAAAGTATCATGTGGGTATCAATCAAACCACGTTTTGTCTAAGAATATATCTAAATATTTTTGTTCTATCGACCATAACTGACGCATGATCTGAATGCATCTTGTTTACAAGAGATTTGTCAGTCGTTTTATATTTGAAACCGATAGATTTTGATCATGATATATGTTCCCCTGCATTCAACGTTTATGTAGAGATTTCAAGGTTGGAACACAATTACATTCACACATTCTAAATATCTTTCTTCGTATTATATCTGCACTAACCTCTCTGACACTCACGTGTTTCTTCGCTTCTTTCTATATTGAAAGGGATGGTTCTAGTTTCTCTGACTGCAGCTGAAGCTTTTGCAGATGAATGTGCGCCGCCAGGATGTGTTTTGGCGAAATTTTGAAGTTCAATTGAGGTTCATGTGATGCCTGAGTCAGGTGCAAGGTCTTCAATGTTTTCTCGCATGCACGTCATCGTGTCCCTCAAGAGCTGAGTATCACGGTAATATCTAAAAAAAATCCGTTTTGGTGGGATTATGAATTCAGCAACCAAAATGATTTACGTTTCTGCTCTTGCTGAAAAGCCGTTAATTAATAAAAGCGACAACAACATTCCAATGTTTATCATTATCAAGCATAATAGTAACGAAACACATGTTATATTAGAAATACACACATGAACATGCATACATATATCCAATCTCAAAATATAGCCAGCGGCGACTAGCTACACCAAAAAAAAGCGACATTTTGCAAAATAAAGATATGGAAAATGAATATACCCCCACAAAATATTTCAACTTCCTCTAGCAGACCCAATCAATCAGTGTTTTAATATAACAACGATAACTGTTCCAAGTACCCAATAGGAATGAAGAAATTAACAATTTTTGTTAATATTGTGGCACTTTCTTTTTTTCTTTGGCTACCTCGTTATTAAATGCTGATTTGAGGAATTTTTTATTGTTGAATTAATTGACAATACGAACTATTTGTTCATTTTACAAAACGACTGAATTGGATGTAACTGAATAACTTCAGTCTAAGTAAATCATCTTCAATACTAGTGTACTATGCAATAGTTGTGTAGTGGCAACCATTACGAAGATGACTTCTATCTATGTTTACAGACATTCCTTCGATTTCTATGGATTGAATAAAGTATCTTATAGAGAAAACTGCATAGAAAGTGAAATTTTATAATGATTTTCAGAAAAAATTGATGGATGTAGCCGTTACTACGTGGCAGGAGATCATAATGAAAATTTCTATGTTTTTTACCACTTTTATTTGTAACTAACGTTACTGCAGTTTCGTTTATTGTATAAGTTTGAGAATGTCCGTATAGGACGGAACTGCAGTAACGTTAGTTACAAATAAATGGTAAAAAACATAGAAATTTTCATTTTCTCATTATGATTTTCAGAGTAGATTGGATATGATAATATCATATACCTCAATATAGTACATTTTACGTAGTCAATAATTTTTCAATCAATTGAATCACAGCTTGAACGATCCAAAAATATGAATAAAAAGGAATATTAGTCCAATTTGAGATAATATTTTTGAAATAATTTTCATAAGGTTGAGTTTTGTGGACTCAACGTTAATCTAGTTGGATGAAAATCTCTAAAAATCTCAGTGAAAAAAATTCAGAGTGAAGTACAATTAGATATGGATGAAAAATGAGTCATGAATTCGAAGCTTCATTCACTACTTCATATCATTGAGCAACAGTACCAAAAGTATTACACTTGATCAGACTTAAACATAGATACACATATTATCAAAGTTTGATTTTCGTCAGGGTCCCTATAATCGATATCCTAGAAACAATTATAGAGCTCGGTTCAGATAATCCAAAATTGTATACCACAGTAAAACTAAACGGACAAAAACTTTCATGAAGCCCATTCAAAACCACATTGACACTCTCCTATCTCACTAGCGATAAATTAGTATATTTGTGAGTGATTCCTGAACGGAAACAGATTATCATTGGAAGTGTGACAGAAAGGAAGTATTGTGTTTTCAGATTTGCTTCGTTAACATTTTTATTGGGTCCTCGAATGACGAGATGAGGTTCAAAGTTGAAGTCATTGACTGATTGTATTCAGATTAGCAATAAAAAATAATGATGTTAAATGATGTACCTACTTCAGATATATCTATGAGATCAGTAAAGTTTTACCATCCATCAATTTGCGACTTTCTCAAACATTATGTAGATATGTTGTACAGTTACTGAATGTTCATGATCATTTTTTTGGAACATATCTTATCAAATTTGACGCTCACCACCGATATCTTGGAAACAAAATGAAAACATTGCTGTGAATTGCATGGTTTGTGAAAAGACGCAACAACCAATAATAAAGAAAATTAACCAAGAGAGAATGCGAATCTGCCAAAGAATAGTACGTATATAGCCCTCCATAATAAAAAAAAATTATAATGAAGATTAAGTATCAAACAGGACATAGATGAGAGAAACTGGATTGGTCGAATGTCAATCTCGATTATCATTTTATAGTTGACTGTTTTCGAAAAGTGTTCCATTTTTTTGAAGTCGGATGCATTTTATGCATCAAGCCACTGTCATTTGTTCCTCACAGGTTTTCCGATGAGTCAGATTCAATGTCTCTTTACCGAAAATCTAAAGGATTTGAGTAGGGTGATCGAGGTGACCGAGTCGGACTTGATCCTAATCCTGAATCTGCTGATGAAAATGTTTTTACTGCTGTAGACGAGCTGAAGGATTATGTCCATTCATATGTCGGGTATGAAAGATTTTTTTTCTTCCTATTTGGAGTTTCATGGGATGTCGAATTCAGTACGTCTGTTTCATAAAACCTTTTCTCCGCGCAGACAAATATTGTGAAAATCATTGTTCATGGGTTCTATTGCGTTTTTCTCAAATTTTTTCCATGTACATTGCACAGGCACACTCTCATTAGATGTATTGATTGATTCACATTTTGAATTTTTCGGAAAAGATTTTATGTGTAAATCTGTTTTTTCGCTAACCTGCTGTCGCCCCTGCGTATGGAGTAGGGATTAACGAGATATTACTTTTCAACGTGCGATTTCTAGCACGAAATCACGTATTGTTGGCAATTTCTAATCTCACATTTTTCCACTAAATTAATTTCGAAACCTTCATTTCGAACATATTAACCAAGTTCCGTTTGCTAAATATTCAAAAGCCCTCATGATTTGTTTCAAATGAGTTGAAACAATAATAATACCCGCATACTTCCTCTATTCGATAATAGCGAATGAAATGGTTTTTGCGTGACCGTTGTCTCTGTCAAAAGAGTTTGATTTTGAGAAATACTTGGGAATGAGGATTATTCATGAGGATTCAGAAGGTTGATTATTAAATAAAAATCGATGTATAGCGGCCGTAACCTGTGAATTATCAATTGAATAACATTTATGGAAAGCTAACAATACAGGGATATTCTTAAGGCAGATTGTGTTATTTTGTCTGGTCCTGCATATTGCGATATAAAATTCTGAAACACACTGAAATCCAGGGATAGTACCAGAGTGCCACCATGATTTAGCCAAAGCCTCGATAGATAATAACATAAGGTGGGTTAAAGGTAATCGCATTGCTGACTCTTTAGCCAAGAAAGCGGCTGGACTAAGAATTTTAGGACCCATTGACACCTTCGGCCTGATAACAATTTGCGGAACTAGCCGAAGGTCACACCCATGCTTAAAGGTGATGTCTTCTAGTAACCTGTCCACCTTCCTGGAAAGGG